TATATATAATTTTAATTTTTTTTACCCTCTCCCCCTAAAAAATCACCTGATTTTCATCACTCCTCTAATTGTAAATATTGTTAATTGTCTAATAAAAAGTCACTGGCCATAGAGATCACTTTAAAAAAAAATAAAAAAAATAAAAAATGATAGGTATTATATATATTATATATAAACTATCTGCTCACAGTAAGTTTAGCCGATCAGGTTATAGCTTTTAAATAAAAGCTTTTAATAATACTTTAGTAATTTCTATCTTAGTAACCAAAAATTATACAGAGATAATTTATAGCTCATTAGAACTATCTTAGCAAATTGATTTGAATAGTAGTATTTTGCTTTGCTAAATCAAAAAATATTGCTATTTTTGTGTTATTTTTTAGGCCAAAAATATATAAGCAAAATTTCTCTAGACTTTATATATTTTCTCTAAAGTACAAAGAATTACTAATTCTGATTAGTTAAATAATATAATTGTTTACATGTAAATTATATGATTCATATGATATTAATTACACAAAGTTAATCTACAATCTATATGAATCTGAAAATGGTTACACTCTACAATTAAATCATTAATACCTGCTAAAATTTATATATACTTTTTTACTAATAATACTAACTCTAAACTCTAACCTAACCCTAAAAAAACCTCTAATAAAATTTTTTAAAATTTTACAATAAAATAGGTCAAAATTTCAGCATCATTTGATTTTAGCTTTATCCCTAACAATAATTATAGTAATAGAAATTAGTAATAGTTTTTCAACATTTAAAATACTATTTCATCATTTTTACTTTATGCTAAACAAATCAGTTTTGCTATTTTTCTTGTGAATACATGTAAAACTAATATATATTATATACTGTAAATTTGTAAAAATACTAATTAAATTCGTGTTTTAATTAAATTAATATATTTTGATCAATCTTTAATAACTCTCTACTTAGTAGTTCATTCTTGATAAATCTGGTTCTATTCAAATTCTCTCACTGAAAGGATTTGAATAATAACAAATTCATCAGATCAGATTACTAGATAAAAAGTGTCAAAGATTGATCAATAGATACTAATTTGATTAAAACACGAATTTGATTGGTATTTTTATGAATTTATACAAATTTGGTTGACAAAACCTGTAAAATTTATTCAAAATTTGTATATACTTGACAAAAGTCTAGCAAGTATTGTCAATATAAATTAGAAAACTTTATTTAATAGAAACAGTATTTTATTTATTGTTTATTTTTGTTATTATAAAAATAATAAATATAAAATTACTTTGGTTTGTCTTTGCAAAGCATGCTTTATGTTTACTTCTTTCTATGTTTTTAACTTCAAACAGTTTAACTGACTGAAAAACCTTAAACATATTTCTAATTTCAAAAAAAAGTAAATAGAACATTATTCATTCTAAGCATTTTAGATTTTATAAAAGAAAATTTTTATACAAAATTCAAAAAATTTTTCTTATAAATTACTAAATTTAATTAAAAAATTTAACTAGTAAAAAAAACTACAATTTGCATATCTTAAAATTTAATACAATAAATTATTTAAAAAAAAACCTATAACAAATGCAATTAACAAAATTTAAACTTATTTTATGCTAGAAGCTTCAAAATATAATTTCTTGTTTCTTGCAAAAAATTATAGTATCTTTCAAATTTTTGTCAGCTGCTTTCTTAATCCAATAGATTCCTTTATTTTTGTCTTCAGTATAAAAAACAACTGCTAAATTATACATAGAGACAGAATGACCTTTCATAGCTGATTTTTTAAAATATTTAATTGCCATGCTTTAAATTTTAAGCTATTATTGTGATTTGTGTGATCAATATCCTTTTCTAATGTTAATTTTTCTGATTCTAATTTAATTGTAATTTTAGGTAAAGGTATAATTGAATTAATTATTTTAATTCTTCTAAGCACATCTTTAAAATTTGGTCAATAATTTGGATTGTGATATGTAGCTAAAATATTTTCATTAAATAATTAATTAATCGAATAATTAATTTACTGAATCACTAAATAATTGTATAATACAAGTAAATATTAATCAGGTTTACTTTCAATAGCAAGAATTTTCTAATCAAGTGGTATATCCAGATTTGAAAATTTTAAATCAATCTGACCCTTTGATATTTTAGTGCTTAATATATTAATCAAAGTTTTATACTGTTGATCCTCTCAAAACTGATACTATCAAAACTGATAACCTGTAATAACCAGTTAAAAGTCGATCCACCAAGCCCATTCCTTATTTAATATCTTATAATCTGCTATTTATGATACCCGATAGTCTTCAACAAATAGGTTTCCAATTTTCGAGTAGTATTACATGAATGATAACCAATAAAATTGTGATAATACATGTGATATATTGTAAAATTATTTGATATTCTACCAGTTAGACAAGCACTTATGGGGTCCGCTAAAGCAAGGTAAATTCAATATAAGAATCTATATGCTGCATAATTGTGTTCTTTATATCCCACAATATATATAACTTATCAAAAAAGTAACTTTTTTAATTATCCCACTTTAGTGATCCCCACTTATAGACCTTTTTATATTTTAGTAGGCAATATAATTTTGCAATATAATTTTGATTCTTATTTTTTTTTTTTGAAAAAATGCAGATAAGCAAAAAAAAAAAAAAAACTGATAAGTTTATTCATACGGTTTTTGAAGTAGTTTTATTTATGAAATAAAAAAAATGTGAAAACTATTTATTATTCAGGCCTAGAAAAGAATCACTCCAACATAGATTGAACCTGTTTTTCAGTTTCTTCTTTCCAGACCTCCTCACGAATATGTGATTGTAGCTTGTGCAAGGACCTTATAGTTACACCACCATCATCAATCCTCTCCTCTACAATTTAAAGCATTACATAAAATTTTTAACTGTTCTTTTCTAGTTAAGGGTGGTATTACAACTTCATTTTCTATCTGTTCTACCTCTATTGCTGCTTCAATAAAATCTTTATCATCAAACTGCTAATGTACTTACATTTTTTTTTTAAGATCTAATAGGTCTTTTATCAATATTGGACTATGTTTAAGGTTTTTCAGTCAGTTAAACTGTTTGAAGTTAAAAACATAGAAAGA